CACAATAGTAACACTAAGACAAAGAAAAAAATCTTCAGCTATATATACAATAGACTGTGTATCAACACAATTACACAACCTTACCACAAAATGTGGACTTTGGGATACCGCACCACAAAATGTGGACTTGGGAATACCGCACCACAAAATGTGGACTTGGGAATACCGCACCACAAAATGTGGACTTGGGGATACACACAACAAAATGTGGACTTGGGAATACCGCACCACAAAATGTGGACTTGGGAATACCACACCACTTGGGATTCAGCTTGGTTCTGGACAATTAAATCAAAATCATACCTGTGTCCAAATACAGCTAACCAACTTTTCAGCTCACCTACCAGCACAGCTTTTCAGCACTGCTTATCAGCTCATCACAGCTCAATCAGCAACGCAAATGACATCTGACAATTTTGTGTATTGAAGCATTACATGTATAACTCAACCTAATTACATAATGTAATTTATCTTTTCATAATCAACTTATTCCTAGGTATGCAGATTAAATTTGCAATCACATCAAGGATATTTTTGGTTAAATTGCAATATTAAAATGATGTTTGTAATTTGGTATAATGGAATATCACATAGATAATGTTTATTATTTTAATTATTTAATAATACAAGATGAAAATAAGGCATACAAAATAATCTAAGCCATGAATGCACATTATTCGACCAATTCAACATCCCACATGCCATGCTCATCCAGTATTATAAGTGTTTATAGAACATATGTACTATACTATTTGCGTTTATTATGCTCTGTTACTATGGCAACCAATCATGTTCAGACTCATTACATTAAAGAATTACATCAGCATCCATGACCTCTATAAATATAACTGTGACTGATCCTGTAAAATGACATTTCTAGGAAATTATCACCAAAAAGTGCCACGCCCACTTTTGAGTGGATAGAGTGATGGTCACCTAATAAAATATAGTCCAGAGTCAAAGATATCATATAATTCATCAAATTAATCATGTTATCTTATTAAACACTCCCCATATATGTTTTAAGGGTAACTTTATGTTCATATCTAAATGATTTGAAGAGAAATGGCAATATCAGTTAGTATAGGAAGCTTCAAATTTACTGAAATATTAAAAATTTTGAGCATTTAAGTTGTGTTGCTATGGTAACCAATTGACCAATTTATATCAAACTTGCTGTGACAACTGAACTATATAAAGGTGCATGATCCCTGAAAATTTTATTGTGATTGCAGTTACATAACAGGGGCGTAGCCAGCTTTCAGTCAGGGGGGGTGCGATCGCCGAAAATTTTTCAGTTTTCAGTCAGGGGGGGTGCGATTTTGCCATAAGCAACACAAAAAATTAAGATTTCTTTTGAATTTTACAAAAATTGATGCAACTTCCTTCAAAATTGAGCTAGAAGCTTCAAATAAAACGCATTTTAAAGCTCTTTTCTACCTCTATCCAATGGTCATATTTTCAAAGGTTATGGGGGGGGGGTGCGATCGCACCCATCGCACCCCCCCCCCCCTGGCTACGCCCATGCATAACAGAAATTATTAATGTTTATCATAGTACCCCTTCATAAAATTACCCCAGGGGGTATAAATGGTGATTTAAAGGTTTTCCACCACTTAGATTTTTCTAGATTTTTGATATGTCATTTTACTTACCAATGGTTATTGATTACACTAGGTTTACATTTTGTTGCAATTTTTTCATTTATTTGTGAATATTTACAACGGTTTTACTGGAGTAATTGGGGATTGGAGCTACATGAGATACACCAAACTCGAGCTCGCTGTTATTTTCGCCATTCCCAGGTGTGACGTCACAATGCAAATACAATACGTAGATTCCCGGATGATTGGATAGAGCACGGTCGTGCATCTATGGAGAATTAGAGAACGTTCTATATTGGCTATGCTGCATTCTGATTGGTTGAGAAATTCAATTAGAGCACGGTCATGTTTGAATTCCTTATAAATAATTGTGTAGTCAAGTAATTGAGATGAAATTTACCAAGGAGTATAAAATAATTCGCAGTTGTGCTCACTGCAGTATAATGTCATCTCACTTCCGTTCACAAGCTTTTTATATTTGTAATTTTAACATTGATTTTGCTGATGTTACAAGGCTCTTTTACTGTATTCTGCCATAAAACAAAGTCCAGGGGATATAGAAAATACTCATGTACATCTTCTGTCCATATGTTTGATAGAGATGGTTAGATGTTCATATTTTATCTACATGCTATGTAGTATTAGGGGTTCTGCTAGAGAGCCTGTTTTGAAATAAAACTGTTGGTTTCAAAACAGTAGTTTTTAGTGCAAGTTATGAATAATTTTTTGACTTGCCAGTTAGTCTCTCTGTCAAAAATGCCATGATTCATTTCATTTTGCTATAAATAGAATATTATCAATAGTGTGTTACAAATAGGTCACAGTGACCTGTATATGAAGAAATAATTTTATAATTGCTTATAATTATATACTTGCTTTTATAATTGCTATATAGAATTTTGAGCATTCATATCTGTTTCTGAGGACATTTCAATATCATCCACATCAACCAAACGAAACTAAAACTGCTCCATACATTTCAAGATTTTGATTGACAGCTTTATATTTAGAACATGAAATTGATGTCCTGTGTTAAAACTCCAAGGTCAAGCTGATCTGGTCACTTTATAAGGCAATTTAGAAACAGATTTTTCTTGAAATTGGTCAATTCTATCTTCATATTTCTCAGTCAAAACATATAAATAGAAAATCTAACCTTTCAACCCATTCTTGTCATTCTAATATCAGTTTATTTGAGAGGTTTTAATCATAATTACTTTTGTCTGAAAGAAGGTTTTTGCAGTGTTTTTGTTGGACTATTTTGTCAAAAAATTTCTATGCAAAGCACAATTTCCCAATCTTCACAAGTTCAGGGGCTCATTTAAATTTTTATGATGGAATAATCAATTATGCCAGCTCAGGATGACACGATTCAATTTTTATGAGATAAAATGTAGAACCTTTTGATAAATATTGCTATTAGAGCTCAAAATGAGAAAGCATCACCAGTAAAAAGCACTTTAGCAGTCTAAATCATCCATCTATTTGTCAATGGATCTGTCTATCCATTCATTCCGCACACACGGTCTTCACTGCCAACGACAGGAGCTGCATGAACGAAGATGCTATCTATCTATATGAACAATTTTTGCACTAATGAAAACTGCCCTTCATCTGAACAAATGCTCATATATCTATTTTATTGGGTTCTTGCTGGTAATTGGCAACACTGGTCTCTGCTCCTTTGCCTGGTGTTGAGGAAGTGTGACTTTCAGCTTCACAGGTTTTACAGTTGTGTGGTCATTACAAATTCTAAAGAAAGTTGCAATGACTTGCACAAAATGACAAAATGAATGGGCTACTTGTGAATGAAGGAATTACATGTAATAGAATGAACTTCTACCTTTATTTTATGTTTTTATGTCACCACCAGAAGTGGTGATATATTGTTATTGTCACCAACATTTGTGTGGATGTCTGTTGGTGGTTGGTGTTTGTTACAAATGGTAGGTGGTGATATTTTGCATGTTCATGCCTTCTTAGCTTTTGAGAGGACGACTATTTTGTTCAAAATTGTATTCAGTTCTGAACATAACTCAATCTGCCAAGCGCTGGCTGATGAATCACAGCAAATATTACTCAGGCATCGCTATGAGGAAATATGTATGCGCAAGGGACAAATGGAAAGAACAAAAAAGACCAACCATTGTATTCAAATTATATCTTTCTTACAACAGCTTTGACAGCTTTTTAGGAAATTTCCTTTTCAACAACAACTTTTGTAGAAAAGAAGCAGTGAGAATCAGATTGACAGGGACCTATATTTTATATATCGTAGTATGTATCATAAGTATAGGCCTAGCTTAGAAATGGTTTATCTATTGTTAAGCTTGGTATTGATGAACCCAAAAAAATATGCTTACAAAAGGTGCTTATATTGGTATATATAGAATAGAAAATCGAAAGTGCTCTCTAATTATAGAACCTGTAATTGTTTAATCAATAAAAAAAGATGTTGACCTTCAAAACGAAAAATTCAAGCTTTAATAATGAAGGGGGTATTTATTGAATTTTCAGAGACACAGGAGCCTCTTGGGGAATCAGTTATTTTGATATTCAGGATCCAACATGCAATCAATAATTGTAGCTATAATAGAATTCTAATAAGTCTCATTTAGCCTATTATCATATCATAGAACATCTGACATTATTAACCAAATGAAGTGTTGTTGTCTGTCAGTGTGGAGAAATCAAAACAATTACTACTAGATGAAAGAGAAAAAAACAATTTACAATTAAATCTTGATTAACCTACTGGTAACAGCATGCAGTATTGTATACTGCATTGTACATAGAATAATTGTTTTTGCCTTTCAAAGCCCTGTTATTATTTAATACCACTTCATGACTATTGTTAAAATAAGAAATGTAGCTAAGCAATACATTGTGTACATATGTCCTGAAACTATGTGCCCCCCTCCCCCTAGGCAGACAAATGTCTCCATAGTATGTGTCATATATCATTTTAAAGCTCATTCAAAGTTACATTGATTTGCCAATTACTCGTATTATGATTCAACTCACAAATGGGAAAAAGTTACAGGCATTTCAAAATTTAGTGTTTTGCCAAAATTAAAATGTCATTTTACATCAAAATAATAGTCGGTGTCTCCCCCTAGGCCATGTTAACAGCAGCAATGCCCCATACTTTTGGGACACCCTGTATTGTTGATGTTGTAGAATTTTAGAAACTGATTGATATGTTGTCAATCTCTATAGTAAGTCGATATACCTGCTGTGATGTCACTCACTTTTTCTGGTCACAACACTTTTTAATATTAAATACAGTTTATTGATTGTTATATGTGTTCTATTGTTTGATGTAACCATGATATGCAAACTTATCATAACATGAACATATTGCTAATTAGTGTATTTATACTTTATGTGTTTCAGGGATGATGCTGGAACAGAACAGAACATCTGCAGCGGCTTGTGCAGCATATTCTTCTTCTTTATGATTATATCTGTCCTCACATTTCCAAATGGTAAGTCTCTGACTCCTAACTTACCATGCAGTAATTGTTCTCATTAAGTGATTGGCCACCCAAAGATATTCACTTTTTATGTGACTACCAAAAGTGGTGACATATTTTGGTAATCTCAACTTTTTGTGGATAATGTACTGTGCTTGGTGTTCAGTGGTTGGTGTTTGGTATTTGGCATCTGTAACAAATGGCAGGTGGTGACATTATGGATTTTGATGCCTTGTATCACATTGTCTATGAGTATGGAGCAACCCAAATGATTAAACAAGATGGCAAAAGGCTTGAATGTGAGTTTGTATCAGAATTTAATTTCTTCATAATTTACTAAGAGAAAGGTTGAATCTCCATTTTTTTCATACACATGATATGCAGAAACGTGCTCTGCATCTGAAAAGCCAGACTTTGGCAAACGTAGTAAATGAGTTACTTTCTTTATGATTGCAGGTCCATTCACACGTCCTCATCCTGCACTATGGAGGATGGTGTTCGGCATGAGTGTCCTGTACTTCCTACTTCTCTGTTTCACGCTATTCCAGAACATGCAGACTGTGAAGGAAATTCTGTTCTGGCTCTATCCTGATCTCAGAACATATACACCCGAGGTGGAGCGACAGGTATATATTTTACTTATATACAGTGTGCAAATATCCCCTCGCCATTCGCCAGATGCGAAGCTGAAAAAAACTTGGCGATACAAATTTGAAACCTATAGCCAATTCTAGCGATACGAAACGTAATACCGGGTTGCCAGCAGCGGCAGTAGATACTCTCAATTGCCATTAGTAAACTTGTTCCAACTTGGAACCGTTCAAATTGTCTCTCACAATATTTGGCAAAATTTTGATGAAAATAAAACAGAAAGAAAGAATGGACTGAATAGATTAAGTGTTTTTGATTGGACAGCTAGTGACAAGTAAATCATTTGTATATCAAGTGATAATTGTGCCGCGTCATGATCAAGATATATCATGTGACATAAAATGCAGTTTCGATCGATTTTATTCTTTATTATCGTTTCAACATCTTCGAAACAATAGACAATCACACAGGATATACAAGATGATACAATACATTCACTTCAGTTGATGTAAGCACATGGAATCAGGGTGAAAACAGCTCCTTTATGGAATATTTTAGATTGATATTGTACGCATCTCGTGCAAATTTTGGAAAGCAACACCTTCAAGGAATGGTCATTCCACATTGCAACGAGTCCAAGGCTTAAATCATCAACACTTTCAGCTGTGAGTGTTGGAGGAATTTAGGTGAATGAAAATAAGCATGTGTCTTATATTAATACTGTCCTGAACAATAAGCTGATTATTTTTCTAGATAGACACCAAAGTCAGTAGAAGAATATTCTTTAAACTGGCTGGTTCTCTTTAACATCCATGGCCCATACTTTTTATATTGACCTGGACGCTCAATGTCTTTGCCATCATATGTCTTGCTGATATCAGCATCAAAGCTTGGTGAATAAAAGAATGGGGCAGAGAATCTATCTTTTCCAAGGTCAACAACTCTGTGAATCGTGGCTCTAAACCTTCCTCCTACCAACTCGGACATTAATGCACCTATGTTCATAAGGAGGCTATCTTTTATCGGGGGTACATCGATCCACACCCCTTTCTGTTGCATTTGCAGCCCCCAATTGTCAAATGTCGCAAGGAGTGTTATATAGCTAGAATCAGCGTGTGCACCTGTTGTTATCAACTCGTCTCCATCTATAGCTTCATCGGGGATCTCAGATCTTGAGAAATTGACACGAGATGGGTAGTGTAACAAACGGAACATGGCTAGGATATTGGACTGAAAGAGATGATCTAGCGCCGTTTTCTCCAACCCCAAACTTAGTGCAATTAATTGCAGCACCTGTTCCCCAGTTTTACGATATATATCACAATATTTGATGATGGTGTCTTTAAACTTTGGATATTGTGGGTCATAATCTGGCCAGACATTTCCTTCCATGGCGATATCTCGCATCAGTGGCCTACTATCTATGTATGTTTTCTTCTTATGCTTGTCGTAATCAAAATCTCCGAACATACCTATCTCAAACGCTTCTTTATAGGAGTGTCCCCCTGGGATGACAGGGTTGTACCCTCTAAATGTGTTAACGTTTTCTGGCTCAAATGCCTTTCGAGCTAATGTCATCTTTTCATTAAGAGGAAGGTTAAAGAACCATTTAGTAGCTTTGAGTAGTTCAGCAGATTCAAAATCTGGGATATTGACTATGTAGAGGAACCCTTCATTTTCTAAAGCCCGAGATATGACTTTTGCTGCATCTTTAGGAGTCTCTAGTGCTGCGGCCAGGTCTATTGTTTCTAGAGGTCCATTTCTCTTCATACTGTTTTGTGACTTCTCGCTATTCTGCAATATGACATCACCATTTTGTGTCTCCATGGTAATACTGAAACACATACAATTACAACACATATTTAAAGTTAGGTTGAATTCAACCCTCATGTACATATAACTATGAAAATGAAAATGCCATTCAGTACTATGTGAGAACAACAGACATTTGACACCATGTATATTGTATATAGTTTGATTTTGATAGTTAGATAAATTCATAAATGTTTCCTTAGAACTCATAAGAATATTTGTGAACACTAGAGCTACAGGTAAATGGATTATCACTAATTTCATTGAAACCAAGTTCCTTTCATACCAAAATTGTTATTAAATCACTTATTGACACATTCTTAATCCAAACAATATACATGTAGTCTCTGTCTAGTCTTTAGACCAATTTTCTTCATTTTTGGTGAAAAGATGTAAATGTTCATATTAGTTCTTTCAGCAAGGGACTATAATTAGAATTTCGTATTTTGAGATCTAAGAGAATAGAATAGATAGTTACCATGATCTCGATCTCATTAATCATGTAATCATGTTTAAGTGATGTTTTGTGAAACAAAGCTATAATTTTAACATGCATGTTAATAAACAACACCGAGTCCAATAAAAGGTCATGCTGCATATATATAATAAGCTAAAAACTCATTTTAGTGAAAACTTTTCTGAGTTTACAAGCAAGAGAAAGGTAAATACCTGTAAGATGATGATCTTCACCTTGTGTACTTTAGACCCTCTATACCCAGTGAGTACACAATGTGCCTCATGTGACCTGTTAAGTTATCATAAGTTTTGTTAAGAGTTTAAACACGATATGTATGTTAATAGCTGTATAATAGCTGTAGTGTAAATGGTATACTACTGCTTGAAATTGCATGACTCTTTTGTTTAAAGAAAATAAATTTTGAAAGTTCAAACTTTTTAATATTAATAGCGTAATATAAAATCCGTTGAAATAACCATATTTAGAAAGATTATGAGTGTAATGTTTGAAAGATATTGAACATTAAGCAATTATAGAAATATTCAATGAAAATCGTTGTAATTGTTGGACAATACTTAGAGATCCTTGACTAAAATATTTTGCTCTTGAATTGCAAACTTTGTTTCAACAATACTGTAATTATATGATCATTTTAAAATGATGACCATTGTTTTTCAAAATATTCCAAGAAGTCACAGATCAGTGACCTTTATTTTAGTTAAAGCAGGTCATGTTGACCTAGGCTAAGACTTAATCTGTACATAGTAAACCAGAGAAATTATTCCAGTGCCTGAACCATGGTATATTAATATAATAAAACAATGAAATAAACATGTTGATCAGTGTTTTGTTGTTTTTATATTTGCAGGAGTACGCTGTGAACTGTTCCGACATAACCTTAGAGAGGGTGTGGTCACATGTAGATATATTCGCATTTGGTCACTTCTGGGGTTGGGCACTGAAGGCTCTACTTATTAGACATTATGGCATATGTTGGACAATCAGTATTACATGGGAAATAACAGAGGTAAGAAAATTTGATTTCTAGTTCACTTTCTAGATTCTATGATTTTTGGTGCAATATAAGACCCAATACTTTATTCTGTTCATTGTTAAAAGACCAAAATCGCGTAGTGATTGAGGTCTTTGGCAATGGCCAGAACAAAATCTGAGGTCATATATTTGCCATAAATCATAGAATCAAGGTCTTTTTTATTTACGACTCTAATATGATAAACATTTCAGAAAAATGACTATTTCCATTTATGAAATTGAGCAGTCATACTCGATTATAGACCAGTAAATCAATTGTTCTTGTTTTTGTTATGTCACATATCATATTGGAATATGACTTACGAATATGAATTTGTCTAATTTCAGATGTTCTTTGCTCACTTGCTTCCCAATTTCCAAGAATGCTGGTGGGATGCCTTCATCTTGGATGTTCTCCTATGTAATGGGATTGGTATACTGTTTGGAATGCAAGCCTGCAAGTGGTTGGAGATGAGGAACTACCACTGGGAAAGTATCAAGTAAGAATCTAGACATAATTGAGATGTTATGATGGCATTCTGGGATATCTACCTGAAATATCACCTTGGATTAATAATTCTACACAAAAATCAAAATCGGCCAAATTCCCCAGATTGAAACTGAGGACAAATGAAGTAGTCTTAGTAAAGAATGGAAATTTAAAAACCCCAAGAAATAATAAATAGTACAGATGGGAAAACATTACAGGCTAGAAAGCCTCCAACTTTCCTTGATGATGAAAGTTTTTGTGGATATGAAAATGCTGTAAAGCAGACATTAACTATTCAGTTGATTTCTTTATGCTTGATGCTACAGTTTTGTTATTATAATATACTAAGACCTCATGATCAGATGATATGATCATTCTTTTATTGAATTTTGCATTCATTTTTTCACCATGTTAATTTCCCAAGTTGAAATGTACATTTAAAGTAAAATGCACATGTATTTTCATACTTTTGTATCTTATTGTATCTTACATTCTAGAGACATTCATACTACCACTGGAAAGATACGTCGTGCTGTATTACAGTTCACCCCAGCCAGCTGGACGCACGTACGCTGGCTTGATCCTCACTCCTCCTACATGCGGGTCGTTTCTGTCACAATCTTGGTTGTGTTTTGGATGGTAAGCAATCTTCTCATATTCTAATAATTGAAAATTGATTGAGGTATGTTTTTAGTCATGTTTATGAAATCTTCCTCAATATATTCCCTGTTTTCTTTTAATGTAAATTATATTAACCAAATCATCAGCATCTGAAAGAACCTTTTTAATACTGATTTAGTGATAGTAATCTACTGTATGTAATACCATGGTGATACTATTAATTAAAAATAAATTGACCATAAAATAAAACATATGCTTTTGTGTTTTACTGAAGTCTTTAAAATGCTCAATGGTTCAAAGAAACTGATACCTAGTGTATTATCTGTATTTGCAGGTTGTGGAGTTGAACACCTTTTTCCTAAAGCATATATTCAGATTGGGTACAGGTCACCCCCTTTGTATAGGACGTTTGTTGTTCATAGCGGTCATATCCGCACCTTCAATTCGACAGTATTATTGCTACGTGACAGATGCCCAATGTAAGAGAGTGGGTACGCAATGTTGGGTCTTTTGGTGAGTATAAAATCCATATCTGTTGGTGATAAACCATTATTAATTTCTATTGTAATCCCCATATTTCTTATAAGCTCAGAGGTGGATTGCAAAAAGTTGCACAAAATCGCGCAAGCCCACATTATGTTTTTGTTAAAATGTTAGAATTTAGTGGTTTAGTGATTTAGAGAAATGCAGTGTTTCTATTTAAATGATGCAAAATTAAGAAGAAGAAACTTAGAATTCCTAAGTTTCAAAGCTAGTGAAACTTAGGCAAGTAAGTTTCTGCATTTAAATGTTATATGTCATTATTTTTCACATTTCTCATTTCAGTGCAATAACCCTGACCGAGGCTATGATATGCTTGAAGTTTGGTGCTACATTGTTTAAAGAAACCGAGCTAGTCTATATGTGTATTTGGCTCATTACTCTGGTGAGTTGCTGACATACAAGTATAAACTACTAAACATAAAAAGCTGTTTGCTCATTTTACAGTTTGTCCCTTGTTGGACCGAGTTGTTTTGTATTAGAATATGTTTCAAGATTATTTCTTCATTTCTTCATTCATTCACTGTAAAATATTAATCGATATACAAAATGACTCTAAGAGGTAAAATTGATAAAATGACATTCAAAATATGTATAACATAACATGTTTTTTTAAATAGGATGGGGGAAATTTATTATTATTGCTTTAAATTTTTGCTTTAAATTTATTTCAGTTAATATCTGGAATCACAGCTGTGTATATATGTGCCATAGTTGCCAAAAGATCCAAGGTATGTACTAATAATCAGTAATGTTTCATAAGTACAGAGTGGGCCAAAAACAAGTATCTCAAGCTATGCAGCTGTAACCACTGCCAGTTAAACAGCACTGTACAGTGTGCATGCCGTTCATTGAACAGGACTTATAAATGTACAGGATAAAGTACAATGCTGTATCAACATTAGTTAATGCTACTGTATGAGGACTACATGTATTTCCAAAACAGTGCTGAACAGCTCTGTCTGAGAAGGGCTGAACAGTAGTGCTGTGCTGGATCAATACTTTTATGTGCTGTTTAAACAGCACTGTACAGTGCTTTTTTATGATGTTGCAGAACAATTAAAGAACTTTTGCTAGTTCTGCTAAATAATGAGCCGCCTTGCTCCATTTTATGTTGCTTTGGACTAGTGCCTTTACATCATCGCATTCCACTGCATTATGTTTATGGTATCTTCATTCTTTAACACCATTATCATCATGCTTTAGTAAATGCATGTCAATAACTGTAGATGAAGATAACACTTTGAGGTGTTAGAAGTGGATGCCATTGTTCAGTATCTTCCAGAGATTTCCATTTTCAAAATGAAGAGAGATTTGATAAAAAAAGATTTGCAACTCGGTACTCTATGTTTTTAATATAATGAACAGGTGATTCATTTTTTGTTCGAGAGTACATGTATGGTCATACTTTTTGGCCCACCCTGTACACGTAAATTATATGTTCTTAAAATTGCAAACATAAGACTGTGAGCTATTTGTTGAATTACATTATATTTATAATTTTACAAGTATTCATATTTTCCTTGTCCTATCTTTACTAATAATAAGGCTGGCGCTTTTTGTGACAACTCGAATTTCTTAGTTCTAATGTGCTACAGCCATTTCTTTTAGTATCTTGCTTTTTTAATGTCATGCTTTTGTAATTGTCATGAGGGTATGACCTTTCTCAAAAATTGTGTCACATGTTAAGAAAGTCTTGAGAACATTCCATGTTATTCCACATTACATTGTAAGTCCAGCACTTATACATGTTCATCTTCTTGTTTGTCTTTTCCTGTTCTCTACTGCCTATTGTATGCTATTTTTCTTTATTTTTATGCTGCAGATTTTCTCGGTGAGTTAACAATCGCAAACTTTGCTAAATGCTGAGTACATATAAGAAAGCATGATCGTTACTGTTGTGCTTTGTACACGTCCTTTCCTTTTTAACTGAATGCAGATTTTATAACCTGTAAAAGTTTTGGTTGTATTGAATTATGAATGTATGCTAATTATACACTGTATGTTGATTGCTTAGTTTATAACCAGTGTCTTTATCAGTATTTGTTGTGATGTGTGCTGAATTTATGTCTGCTGAGTGTATACCCATTTTTATGTTTTTTTTTAAATGTTGAATGTATATGATACATATAGACGAGTAGGGATTTGCCAAAAAGTGCTTATTTAAAGAAATAAAAGGATCGACTGACCCTGTTGGGTTTCTTGGTATTTTTGGAAAGCTTAACATATCTACTACATATTCCAAATAATGAGAAGTTCTGAAATTGGTCCCGTTGCCATGGAAACGGACGCTGATTAAAATACCTACTATTAACAGCATTTAAATCACCAATAACATGTTTTATTTTATAACTTTTCCATTTCTTATCCGTTTTAAATAATGTTGGTACCAAATCAAAGCATGTTGAGTGCCCTTTCGAAAAAAATATAATTTATGTAAATTAGCTCATTTGCATATCTTTTGTGACGTCATAATTGCAATTTTTCCTAATATTTTGAGCAAATTTTAAAATACATGTTAAATATACCCCACTTGAATTAAATAAGCTCAGTAAAAGTGTAATATCTTCAGAGAATATAAATGTAGGACAGGCAGGCTTTATTTTGATATATAGAACATAGCTAAATCAGTCTAGATGATATAGCCTACATCCTTTTTAATTAGTACATAGCTGGAAAATATACAGCTAAACGTAGACCTATTTTATGGTATTTTACAAAATATGAGCCAGCCTTATTTAAATTATCTGGCCTTGAGATGGAAAACACTGATATTAGCAGGTTACCCCCAGACCCTATTTGGTCTCTAGGTATCTTTAGAAAGCTAAGCATCTCTACTACATATTCCACATAATGCTAAAATCTGAAAATGGTCCCGATGCCATGGAAACGGACGCTGATTAAAACACCTGATATTAACAGTACTTAAATCACCAATAACATGTTTTATTTTATAACTTTTCCATTTCTTATCCATTTTAAATAATCTTGGTACCAAATGAAAGCATGTTGAATGCCCTTTCAGATAAAGTATAATTTATGCAAATAAGCTCATTTGCATATATTTTGTGACGTCATAATTGCCATTTTCCTAATATTTTGAGCAAGTTATTAAAATATAATATTATAAATATCGAATTGAAATAAATAAGCGCAGTAAACATGTAATATTTTCATAAAAAATACATATGGGACAGACAGGCTTTATTTTGATATAGAACATAGTTCAAACGGTCTAGATGATATGGCCTACATCTTTTTTAATTAGAACATAGCTGGAAAATAAACAGCAAAATGTAGACCTATTTTATGGTATTTTACCAAATATGAGCCAGCCTTAAATAAAATATGTGGGCCTGATATGGAAAACACTGATATTAGCAGGTAGACCCCAGACCCTGATGATATCTTTTGACAGCTAAGCATTTCGACTACATCTTCTACATAATGAGAAGTTCTGAAAATGGTCCCGTTGCCATGGAAACATACACTAATCAAAATACCTGCTAATAACACTATTTAAATCACAAATAACCTGCTTTGTATAACTCTTTCATTTCTTATCTGTTTTAAATAATCTTGGTACCAAATGAAAGCATATTGTAGGCCCTATCAGGTGAATTACAATTTATGCAAATTTGCACATTTGCATATCCTTTGTGACGTCATATTTGATATTTTTATACCATTTTTATCAACTTATTATATATGTCATAAATCCTCTTCTATTAAACAAGTGTAGTAAACCTGTCATGTCTCCATATACCGATATGATGAATGTAACACAACACATCATCATTTTGATAAATAGAGTAGATCTCCACCAGGATAGGAAATACAGAATGTACCCTCTTTAAATAGTTCAATTATTCATTCCTGAGTGATATAGACCAAACTATACATATTTTGTGGTATTTTAGGAAAAGTATTAGTTTGCCTCAATCGAAGGCATATCCAAACATCTTTTTCTGGCTTCATTTTTTCCTCCCATTGACTTCCATGCTAAAAAAACTTGAAATCTGACCACCTCGAAATTCGAATAGTGAACACTCATGTTCGAAAAATTAACCTGTCTAATTTGAACACTTTTCACAAAATATCACATATTTTTTATACACAATTTCTCAAATATTTCCAAATTTACACAAATTCAACTCTCTACAGAGCATTTCTTATACCCCCTGATAAAATATACAGGAGGTACTATAAGTCACCCTCATATCTCAGACACTAATAAATATATTAACTTGAAATTTTCGGGAATTAGTTTTAGTATGATGCTTGACATGTGTGACAAAAATCAAGAAAAAAAACTTAATCCGTTGCTATAGCAACAGTAACAGAACACTATTTGTGACCGTAGAAATGCATTATTTTGCTGATTTTCATAATTTTCTTCATATTCTTGATTCTTAAAGCATCTGAAGTATATACTTATCTATTATATACATGATTAGAAGTAAAGATGAAATAATTCATCATATGGTTTATGTAATATATATAACATTTCAGTTGCTATGGTAACATCACTTGATAATCACGTTTTTACATTTCACTTTCTTTAAAAAGGTGGTCCAAATTAACACTTCTTGAAAAGGTTATGCTCCCTAGGTAAAAGAAAGTGCTGCTTTAGAGATAAATAGTCACATGAATTTGTACAAAAAATTATAACTTAATTTTACCCCATCTCGCCAGCCACCAGATTTGATGATTTTGGTGAAACTGGCAAAATACATTAATTTACTAGCTCCCCAGTGGCCCCAAGAAGCTATACAGGGGCCCCCAGTGGCCTCCAGAAGCTGTATGGTGGCCCCCAGTAGCCACAGAAGCTATATACAAAGGCCCCCAATGGCCCAAGAAGCTATAAGGAGGTCCCCAGAAGCTATATAAGGGCCTCTAGTAGCCCCCAGAAGCTAAATGTTGGCCCCCGGAAGCTATACAGGGGCTCTAAATGGCCCCTAAAAGCTATATGGTGACCCTCAGAAGCTATACAGGGGCCCCAAAAGCTATATAGGGGCTCCAAATGGCCCCTAGAAGCTATATGGTGGCCCCCAGAAGCTATACAGGGGCCCCCAGAAACTATACAGGGCCTCCAGAAACTATACAGGGCCCCCAGAAGCTATACGTTGGCCCCCAGTAGCCCCAGAAGCTATATGATAGCCCCCGGAAACTATACGGTGGTCCCCAATATGGCCTCCAGAAGCTATACAGGGTCCCCTGAGTAGCCCCCAGAATCTATACAGTGGCCCCTAATGGCCCCCTAAAGCTATACAGTGGCACCGGAAAGCTATATGGTGGCCCCCAGAAGCTATACAGAGGGCCCCTAGTAGCCCCCAGAAACTATATGGTGGCCCCCAGTGGCTCCATGAAGCTTTACAGTGGCCCCAGAAGTTAGACAGGGGCCCCTAGGGGCCCTAAGTAGCTATATGGTGGGCCCAAAAAGCTATATGATGGCCCCCAGAAGCTATAGGGTGGCCCCCAGAAGCTATAGGGTGGCCCCCAGAAGCTATAGGATGGCCTCTAGAAGCCCCCAGAAGCTATAGGGTGGCCCCCAGAAGCTATAGGATGGCCTCCAGTAGCCCCCATAAGTTTTATGATAGCCCCCAGAAGCTATATGATACAGGCCTGTCAACTGTCCCGCAATTTGCGTATTTGTCACGCATTTGCTGAAGAATTTGAAGTCACGCCAGTTATTTTTGCGTGACAGAAAATGTCACGCAAATACGCATTT